AAGACCTCCAGGTTCCATAGGGTTTTCCTGGACTTTTCAGGACTTGGTTTCTTAGGCTGGCGTGTGGCACCGCTTTCAGTTCAGTACACCCTATCCTAAGTGTGTGAAACCCTTGGAATCACATAGTCTTTAGTTTTAACGCAGGGGGCACCGGGGTGCTGATGAGACCGGTGTTAGCAAAGACGCTCATCAGACGCCGGCGATACAGCTGGAGACGTCCAACTGCGTACCTGCCGAGTGATGACTTCCAATTCCTCCTGGCATGCTTGTAATTCTGCAGTAAAGTGCAAGTGAGCTTGACTGACTTGCGCTTGCAACTTGTCGCGCCTTAGAGGTTTTGAGGACTTTCAGACAACCTGACTTTGAGACTTTGAGGATGTTCAGACCACCTTACTTGTATACCCTTTGTCCCAGCTCGCAGCGAGCGTAGGAGCCTTATGGCAGAGGTCAGTTAAACTTTGATGGTTTTGATGGAGCTTGGGCAGGTTGAACGCCCATAGTAATCCGCAGCATTTTTGCATGGCAGCTTTCCCAAGATCCATTGGGATCTGTCGGGGCCTTATGTGCGCACACAGCATGCGCCTACAAAACTAGGCCAGGCGCTCCTAGGTTCTTTTAATGAGGTTCGGTTTCGTTCTTTTAATGAGGTTCGGCTTCGTTTTTTTCCGGCCCCTTCATTTGGTTCCCCTTTCATTTCTTCCCTTGCGCACACTTTTCCTTTCCTCTTTCTTTTCATGTATTGTCTGCCTTCACGTCTGGTCACCTCATCCCTTTCTTTCTTTTTGCGCACACATCGCTTTAGCGCACACGTGCGCTCGTACATGAAAACCAGGTCTGAGGTCGCCCAGGTTGTCAAAAGGAGGTTTGGCTCATCGGTTGTCTCTGTTCACTTGGTTCCTTTTCATCGCAGCCACATACACTTGTCCTGTCACGTCTTCTTCTCATGTCTTCGTCCTCTTGTTTTTTGTGCGCGCACGCGCACTAGTCTGAACCTTGGATCTAGGCTTTGGCCCCCCCACCTCGAGGGCGTGTGTGTGAAACCCTCGGAATCACAGTGTCTTTAGTTTTAACGCAGGGGGCGCCGGCGGTACTGACGCTCGTCGCACACCTGTGATACTGCGTACCTGCTGAGTGATGACTTCCACCTCTTACTGGCCCACGCTTGTAACTAGAACAAGACCTCTCTCTTGGCTTTCGCTCTGCAGTGGAGTGCCAATGAGCTTAACTGACTTGCGCTTGCAACGAGACTTCGTGATGTTCAGACCCTTACTTACCCTTTGTCCTGCTGTATTAGGTTGTTGAGTTAGGCTGGTGGGGGCAAACCGCTATTCAGTACCGTGCGCATTTCCCTAATGGGTTCGTGATCGTGCTTTCTCATGCGTTTGTCCTCGTCTGCCAAATTTGAAGTGGGTTCACAATTGCGTAATAGATGGGCATAGTTTGGGACAAGGACTTTTAAAGGTTCATGTCCAGTAAAAGGTTTCTATATAGTGATGACTGATCCAATGGAAGTGGGGTCAAGACTGATATGTTTGTCATTTTCCAGGTGTGCATGCGTTTGGCTACGTTGTGAAGCTCGAGCGTATGACGGCGATGGATGGGGAGTTTGCAGGATGTATCACCAAATACATTTTTAATGGTGCGCACGGTATGCCAAACCTTTTCCTTATCATGACCTATTGTCAGATGGAGTTGCTGCAAATGGATGAAGAGGAGAAGGCAAGATGGCTGCAGGTCGAAGCGAATAGAAATTCTAGTTTCAGGACGCTTTATGACCTTGTCGGGAAGAACCCGACCCAAGTCATCCTGGTGGACAACCAGCGCGATGAAGAAATGCAAACTACTTATGGGCACTGGCGGCAGATGATTCATGACATTGAGAGTCCTTTGGAATGGAAAAATGATCACGGGTGGAAGAAGTTGAGTGATCTCATAAACCAACAAGAGGAGCTTGCAAGAAATGAAAAAAACAACTGCTGACGTCGCAGGAAAAGATCAAGCAACTAAGAAGTGAGCTGAATGACGCGAGAAACCAAGTCGTCAATAGCATCCAGACCGAAGCAAGAGCAGATCCCGACAACAAGGGCGGCTGTTTTGGAGGCAAATGTCGAGTCTTTGTCCAGGAGAAGGGAATGATTTGCATGAGCGACTTGACATGTGGAGATGCTCAGATTATGTGATTGAATTACATTTTGTTTTGACCAGACTACTTCGGACTTGTATGGTATCAGAAGTAGTTGAGACTTTGTCCTTTGGGTGGCGGTGGCAGTACAGGATGTGGTTCGCACAGAGCGTGGATGGTCTCCGGTTGTGGGATGGCTGCACCGCTCCATCACCGACACCGTCGACATGTTGGAAATGGTCACTTCCATGGGAACGCTAGTCGCAACCCCGGATTCTTGCCAGAGTTCGTTTTCTGTGCGGTGCATTTGTGTTTGCAGTACCCTAACCCATGTTTTTCAGGATCTCAACACTTGTCACTACCCTTGCCCTGTAGAGCCACATCCCACTGCTCGATCACCTGAGAACCACTTGTTCTTCCGACCGGATGGCACGGCAGTGGCAGCAGGGCTCCTTCAGCCGGGTGACCAGTTGGCTGCGTTGGAATCAAGTGCTTGTGTGTTGAGCACTCGACCCGTTCAAAACCAAGGCCAGGGTGTTCCGAATAGGTTTGGTCAGGTTGTGCAGAAGCTGAAGAGTCTGGAGTGGGCCATGGAGTTGTTTGTTTGCTGGGCGAGTTGAGGAGGAATCTACTTGATCCACCCCGCAGTGTGGAACGCACATATCCATGAAATTATGTCAATATGAGTCGCAAACAATGTTTGGTGCTGCTTTTTAACCTGCCAGGCTATTTTGCACCTTTGACAGAGGAAGGCCAGCTGGAAGTTGGTGGCGTTTCTGCTTCCTGCTACATCGAGATCTGCCTTTTCGGATGGAAGGTCCCACATCACGTGATGAACGTTGTCATGTGGCCCTTCCGCGTGAACCCCGCATGGATGCCCAAAGCATGGCGCCTGAAAGTCGCAGCCCTGAAGTCACTGATGTGTGAGCAGATCCTTGTGCCCCTCTGGCAGAGCGAATCTCGCCTGATCTGCCTGGGCAATACTTGTTTGTTTATTTCATGTTGTATACCAGGCAGGTAACTTTGTCTTCGACTGGCCTCTTGAGCCCAAGTACCCTCGATGATCAAAATCCCTCATTGACAACCATAGACTTTTGCTGAGGGAAAGCGGGCTGGAGTCTTCAGCAAACAGTCTGCAGCGGATCAGCGCAGTGGAGTAAATGCTTCTTGACTGGAAATAGGCTGGCATTGTACCGAGTTTGCTCTTGTTCTTCACCCAATGGAAGCCTAGCCAAGAAGCAACAGATTGAAGTGCCCTTCTCATTTGAATCTTCAGCTTTCAACGCAGAGAACATAACCTCAGAAACTGTAAACTCTTGAATCAGACGATTGAGGCTGCTAGTCTGTGAGACAGGCAGTATGGACTAAAATATCCTGGGGTGGTCATTGCCAGCAATTTGTTCCATGCATGGTGCCCTCTGTTTAGATTTATGGATGGGAGGGATGGCTTCTCAGGGTTCTGGCGCAGATCCGTTTTTGTGGCTCATGTGAAAAAGCTCGATTTTGCTGATTCAAAGCCATCGAAACTCCCTTGCGCAGCAAGAACAGAGTGGCCCGTGCACTTGCAGCCTGCAACGGCCCTTTGCAAGGAATTCGTTAGAACTATATATGTGTGGGAGATCTCAGCTGACCGGAGTGTTAGATCTGCTGGTAGCAGGTCTTTTTGGATACTCTCTGTAGGTCATCCGTCTCTTCCTTGCTGTAGAGACTGATTTGAGCTCCCTTGATCAACGTCGCCTGAGTCAGGCAAACCCAGTTTCCTTGCCCAACTCCCGGGGAAGCTGTGTGGCGAATCGATCCCATAGGGCTTGATTCGCCGTATTTTCCACGCACGAAACACCCGCGGAGGGGCGAGGAATGAGTGAACACAGGAACGCATGGATGGAAAAGAAGAAAGAGCTTTGAATGACACGCACTTGAAAAGCCGAACCTGAGAAGAAGTGACTTTTCGTGCCTAGGCGACTGACTTTGGGATCTGACTTTATGCTTAAAACGGAATAGTAGGCCATTGACATGGCCACTCACCAAACAGGTCCCTCAGCCGTTTTTTGGGATGTTTCTGAACCGGTATGTTTGGTCTGACCCGTTCACCGCTCCGAGGCCTCAATTCCAGTCTTTGGGCCTTGACTCAGCGCAGTCTGTAAGAGCGGTCCGGCTCCTCAGGCCAATTTCTGGCCTGGCAGTGGTGGTCGAGTCCAGCCGTTACCCCCCTGTTTTGTTCAAGACCTGGTCCCAAAAACAGACCCCAAGGCTCTTGAAAAACTCTTTATGTAGACCCCTCCAAGAAAGAAGATGGATCTGTCGAGGGGACGACGATCAGCTCTCCATCTCCCGAGGCGCTGGCGCAAGTCCTGGGCCCTGTGGCCAAGGCTTTGGGCCGAGATGTCCGGAGCCCCGAAGTGGCGAAGGCACCGGCGCACGTAGGGGCTTGGACGGGGTGGTATTTGTTTGCGTAACTTACGATTCTTCTTTTGACGAAGGGGAGACAGCTGGGAGATGAAGAGGTCGAATTTGAGTGGTTTTCTGTAGAGGGTTGCTTTGAAGGGGTGATGTGATGGAAAGGGTTCGAAACGATTGCACACCAGCCTGTGAGTATCCCATCCAGCCCTTCCCAACACCAAACATACCAGTCACAAAGTTGTTGAGGAGTGTGACATTGGCCAGTCGATGTTCATTTCTTTTCTGCTAACAATAGCAAAGTTCTTGATGCCTGTCAACATAGTACCTATACATATGTGACATGTGTAAATCAGTCGTTCTCGCCAAGTCCCCACGTTTGGTGAGGTCACACAGCGACAGCTGCTCAGTGCGACTCCTCAGCGAGGTTTTTGGGAGTCTCCATGTGGAAGCAGCGCATTTGAGAACCAAACTGAAAGCTTCCAACATTCTTTGAGACTAGCTGGCACAGACGGGAAAACGCAGGAAACACCGCCCCCCCTTTGTTTGACATGCCCTTGTTTGGCTGAATGACCGCGGTCAATGCACCGGAAGTTTGTAGAAAAGTGAACCCAGGTCTCATCTCCGACCTGATGAAGGAGCGAAGCTCTGGTGATGGAAGTGTTGATGTTCGATCATGTGAAATCGTTTGGTTGCGTTAGTTTGGGTCACACCCCACCAGCCGAGCCATTCCTTGAAAGGCCCGGTGCACACCCAAAGGCATTGAAGATGCTAAGAGGTTTTGAACCGACATCGGAAAACACTTGCAGGCAAAAGGCATCCTTTCGGATTTGGAGAACTACAACCGCATGAATCAAGTGCTAGACCAGCAACTTTGGCCAAACCACTTCCCAGTCCCGTTCCGCTTCCTTCAGCCCTGCCTTTCGCAGCTTCGAGCAGGACGAGTTCCATGACGTGCGACTGAACATCGTCTCCCATGCGGGTCTCATTTGCGAAGTTTTGAGCGTTGATGGTCTCGTCGGGAACCTCATGGGGCGAAGTTTTGCGCGGGGCTGTCCTGCAGGTGCTTTCTTGTGGATGGACCGGTACACTTTTTGCCGAAAACCTGCGGGCCCTGGGGTGATGGGTATTCTCCAACTCCATGACAAACCACATTGTCCCCCACAGTCCCCAGGCTGTGTCACCTGGGAAAACCTTTCGAGTTTCCAGAGACGCCATCCAGGTCCATTCGCTGCTGCACACCGTGCAGAATCTCATCATGGACAATCATTGGCGAATTCGTGGGCTGTCCCAGACGAAGCGCTCAGAGCCGTTCGAACCGCAGGTGAGCTGGGGAATCGGGTAGGACCACCAGGACGGCGCCAGTCTTCCCCCTTTCGAACTTCACAGTACCCACCTACCTAGACCTGAGCTTGACCGGCCCGGTCTCTACACCACAGGACCGCCAGGTGAGGTGCGCACCTCCTCACCGCACCGATCGACAGTCGGAGCGGTCCGAGGCCAAAGCGTGGTGGAGCAGGTCCCCAAGCTCGTGCAGAGCTCAGGGTCCCACCGTGTGGTCCATCGATGGGGGAATTCTTCCGTTCCGCCTTTGGCCTAGGCATGGCCAACTTGGCTCCGTTGTGGCATGAGTTTTCCATGAGTTGAAAGGATGACATATCATCTTACAACATATCGAACAGTTAAAGGTACAAGACCTTGACAAGGCCACAATGCCGACCTCGTGCCACTTTTCTTTGCAGTTCCTTTTTTGTTGGGCTCTCGGAAGTTCTTCCCCTCATTTTGGCGGTCCACACCTCTCCCACACCCCTCCGCCCCCGTCCGAAGCGAAACCCGTCCAAAGCGGTCCGTCGGCTCGTCTCCAGTCCCGGCTCTTCGGCATGGAGATGTTCCAGTCCAAGCTCGAGGACGCGTCGGTTCCAAGCGGAGCGGGGCCGGAGCGGGGTGAAGACGCATCGGAGAGACGCCCCAAAAAATGGGACTCCACTTGGGCAGAAGAGAGAAGAGCAGCCTGTCAGAGTGGTGAAGACTTCTACCAGATGTGTTTCTTCCAAAGAGTGGAATGAGAGGAGGATGGAGAGAAGGCATCTTGACTCTTGTGGTGATTGGTCTGGGTGGTGAAAGCATCCGAGAGATACATGTCTTCTTCGTTCTGTTGGGCTGGAAGTCGTGCCCGCTGATTAAATCCAAGCCAATGCAAGCCAATCTGCACGCAACCTGCCGATGATGCCCTCCACCACCTGAGATGCAGTAGGCTCAGTAGGCTCTCTCCATCGACTGTTGTCCAACAGAACCTGTGGAAGCACGGGATGTATTTGGTCCATCAACCAAAAAGTGATAAGTCCCGGACTGCGAAGAAGAGCTGACACGTTCTTGGGTACGGTACGTATGGTCTCAGCAGAAGTTCCGAACTTGATATATAACTTGATCCTGCTTCGGTTCATGTCTTTCTTCCTTTTCCACGCCCGCTCCAAACACCGGTGGCCCCGCTGACCGCCCCGCCTCCGCGCGCAGAACATCTTCCTCTCCAGCCTCCGCGACTCCGTCCATTCCGTGCGTCAGGCGCGGAAGGACCTTCCGCCGTCCCACTCCTTTTCGACGTCAGAAGGAGAAGGAGACAAGTAGGGCAAGAGGTCAAACGCATGTGAAAATCATTTGGTCACGAATTGAAATAGATGGATCCTTTCTTTTTTGGACACCATACGTCTTTATGATGTTCTCTTTTCGGCTTCTACTCCTATGGGTGCCATTTCAGTTGAACGTCTACGGACCTATCCAACCCTACCACACCTCCCACTTCTATGGGAGCCCGTGCCAACCCGGTCACGGCTCCGAGGCCGCGATTCAGCACTTGAAGGACATCGCTGACACCTTCGGTTCCCAATGGACCGTGGAACATTTGTTGCCCGGGAGCACAAACCGAAGGAACGGCCCAATATGGAGCGGCTTCCAAACTTCTTTTCAGGCAAGCAACCCAAAAGTGCCTTTGGGAACAGCTTGGTGCTGCCGGTGCTTTGGAGATGGTTTCTTTCCGGTGTCTTTCTCTCCGTGGAAGTGAGTTTTGTTTTTTGGGAGAACCTCTCTGTGAATGACGAACTCTCAACAAACGAATCATGACCTTTTTTCCAAGGCCCAAATTGGTCGAGCAGTACTCCGGCAGCGTGGGCTATGCCAACCGCGTCACCACGTCCTGGAGCTCAAGAGTAGAGGGCGATGGGGACGCTGGTTGCACCGGGCGTTGCACCATGTAGACGTGAGGACGTGAGTAAAACGTGCTTTAGCAACCGTAGTGTTGGTAGAAACTCCACTGATTTTACTCTTCTTATATCATGTTGCATCAACAATGAAGTGACATGACAGCCTAGATGGGTAGATGATGGGGATATGATGTGAGCGAGCCAACGTTAGTTGCCCTTGCCCCTTGAAAGGCATACTGGGGATGAATCACAGTGGCTTTGAGGACTCAGCAACTCTTCCAGTGTGAGCACGGTTGGGAGGAACTAAATTGGACCACGGGCGAATGCCAACATGTTTCAAAATCCGCGCAACATTCCTACCACTTACTTTACAAACTTGCACTGACACACGTACTCTGTATTGATGCGCTGGCTCCACTTCATGCATATGCACCTGGCCGCCAAGCAGGGAAGCCTGCATCACGCTGTATGCATGCTGTTGAGGCTTCATGTACTGCCACAAGTCTCCTTCGTGATGACGTAGGGAGCCCTCAGAAGGCTGTATTTTTGAGAGATGAGACCCGAAAGCTGGTATGAGGTGCTCTGGTTGGTGCAAGAGATGCATCATAGCCCCTCAATGCAGCTGAAACACACAATGCGTCAATAGGTGCGAAAGCTTTATTGTTCATTTCAAGTGGTCAAGGATTTGTATCTTCAGCCACTAGCGGAAGCTCATTTAACTAATGTTGAGACGTTTATGACGTTTCCTTTTCTCGTTTTTGGGGTTTCTGTTTGTTCTGTTTTAAGTGAACGTAAGTGAAGCCGTCTCTCAGGCCAGAGCAGCTGGTGCAATGCATCGTGCCATTGCTTGTGAGGGCCACCAAGGTGCGAGCCCTGGCACCAACCTGCGAGTGGTTTGACCTCGTCTTAGACCTGAGCCTTTCCAAGCTCCTTTGCATATGTCATGTTTTTCTCCAGTCGTCTACACGACTGGCCTTAGGTCACTTGCACAAGCGATGATTTCATTCAGCTGCACAGCTTTCTTTTGTGGATGTGCCTAGATAGCATATATACCCAGAATTACTGTAACAGCATCGATGCCAGGATAGCGTGCCGAACGTGCGCTTTTGCGCATGCCGCACGATCATGTGGATGTGCCTGGCTCATGTTTGTCAAGGGAGCGGACGGCTATTTTGCAGTTCAGGGAAGGGTCCAGGGAAGATGGGGGGACCCCACGCTTGAACAGACGTGGCACCTCGACGTGGCTTTCCAAGGCATCTCGGAAAGTGAAAGGTAGACAATCCCCAGGTGGCAGAAGGTGAAACTGTGGATCTGTCCGTGTTTTGAGATTTGTAATGTCTTTTGCCCCTAGGCCTTGGGGCGCCATCCGGTCGTCATGTGTGGCTGTTCTCGGAATTGCTGGCCAGGATGGAGCATCACAACCTTGGCGCACAAAACATCAACACCATCATCAAGCCTTGCTTGTCTGAGCCGGGCCGCTCAGGAATCCGAAGCCTTGAGATCTTGTTGTGACGAGCCCGTTGTGTGAAAGAGATGGACCCCAAACAGGTTATCAAAAGTTCTTTGATGAGACAGACGAACCAACATACAGCTTTCCAAGCGATGACCATTTAACGGCCGGAAGTCGGCAGAAGTGGCGCCGCCGTGTTCTTTGTCTCTGATTCTGTGTGAAACGGAGGTTGGAACATGATCCGGACATTGACGTCCAGTACTACGCACAAAGGGCTTTGCTGCTTTGCGCCCGCCTTGGCGTGTGAAACGTGCGCGCGGAGCGAATTGTGTTCCATGAACTGTTGAATCTGAAAAAGCGATTCAGGAAGAAAGTCCGAATCACATTAAAATTGGGGCACCTTTTCCGATTGCTAGGCACTTCATTCGCCTCACAAAACATCCCATGCACCGCACCATGCACCTTCTCTTCAGTCGGCGAACTTTTGGACTCGAAACTCTGAGGTTGAGCCAATGCCCTTAGCAGGTCCTTTGTTGTTCCAAGGCCGCCCTGTTCTCGTATGTGAGGGCTGCAGAACAAATAGAAGTTGAACCCACTGTTGCTTTGGCAAAAGGAATTCTAAGGAGGCAGATAGATAGAGACAGATACTCAAAAGAATGACGAGAGTCTGACCTTTTGAAGCTGAAGCATCGCATCAATCCACTCCTGTGAGAGGAGCAGCTGGCCTGAGAGTATTCTTCGGATTGGTCAACATGCCGCAAGCCGCCACGGGCCCCTGAAAAGCCTGGTCTGGCTTTTTCTCAATTAGGCCTTGAAACAGACTCTTACCTCCAAGTCAGGTCCGAAACTCACTTTGGGAGTCTTTTGTTCTCAAGAATGTCTATCATATCACTTGGATTATACACTTAAACTTGATGATTGGGTCTATCTTGAGAACCTATCTAGAACATTCTATAACCAGTCTAACAAAAAACACGAAAACATCTACCACACCAGCTCGTTAGCGTTACTTCAAGGGGGGCCCCTGTGGGCGTTTCACCCGACCTGACCCGCACTTCCTGCGGAGGGGCCGTGCACGGGGAGCTGAGTGGATGGGGAAAAGACACGAGTGTGGAAGAAGAACAGAGGTGAAAATAGGTTTCGCATAACGCCAGGAGTGGTGAACATTGTGACTGAAAGAGTAGTTTCCAAGTGAAGTTTCCAGCGGATATTTTGGTGGTGCAATGCTGGCATGCACCTGCACAGGCCGGTTTCTTATGATTGAAGCTTGTGGCATTGCCACTAGTTCTGTGTTTTTCCCAAGAGCAGTGGCCGGTGGCAAGTGCGAAATCTTCTTTTGCTCGCTTTTTTGCATGATTTGCAAGCTGCTTGGGCCCAGCATAAGCATCACCAGCATCACAAGAGCACCAAAGCGGGTCCACCATGAGAATGATATCTATTTTTGATTTGTTTTGCCAACGCTAAGCCACGCCCCTTCAAGATGTCGGCTTTGACCTCCAACCATGGTGGAAAGCACGCAACCCTTGCTTTTTCGAGTAAAATCGAAGGAAGAGGGCATGGTTGCATTTCAAACTGAAGACTATGTATCGTTGGATCTTTTCGACAAACGATAGAACAGTTCAACAAGGACAGAATCCAAAAAGCAACGGCAGCGAGCATACTTTCTCACGCTCATAGCCATCAGACTAGCCGTAGAATTAGAATCAGACATCAGTCTTTATGGTGAGCCTAGCATGCGCACCCCTCATCCAGTTCAAGCAACACTTGCGGAGCTCTGTCCTGATGGTTGTCATTCAGAGATATGCCCGCATCCCAGTTGCGCACCAGACACCAATGTCTTGCAGTCTCCAAGACGAGCAAGACGTCGTTGCACGGACATGTCGACGTCGTTGAACATGAAGAACCGACTGGAAACAACATCTCGCGAAAAATCTGTTCGAAACCAAAAGCGCCCTTTCCGACTCTCCCGAGAGCGATCCCGAGCGCCACCACTGGACGCGCCTTTTTCAGACACCGAGTCGCCGGATCCGCAGGGCGCAGCTGACCGCGACCTTGCTGCCCTCCGCGCAGAGGAGACGAGCCTTTTTGTGGGGACGTCCTCCCCGAAACGACCAGTGACGCGTTTTGGGGGGAGATGGAGAAACCCAAAGAGGCAGATGAACCCAAGAGGCTGTGGCGCTTGCAAGTTCATGTTTGCTTTCGAAACACTTCTCTTGAAGAGTGTTCTAAGCTGCTATTTCACCAGCCACCGCCATGGCCATGTATAAAATGGACAAATTGACTACGAAGATTCGGATTCAGTCTCAGTCAAGCTGGTCAAAGACACAAGACACACAAGTTGCAAAGGGATGAATCCCAACCATGTGTAATTACCACTTGGAATAGCTCACGCAGATTCCATTCCACCCTACCTTCACCCCACCTGTCAAAAAACCAACGATGCTTCGTCTCAAAGCGCTGGTCCGACAACGACGACGATCATCGTTCCAGGCCCTGCGACGACGAGAGCCCACCGTGGTCCTTGAGCCAGGAGCAGTGGCGGGTGACGACGGGTGAGACGTCTGGGTTTTAAAGTGAAGGACAAGCGACATTGGACGGGGACAGTTTCAGTTTGGACGGAATCCCTTTTGCGTGGTCAATTTTCATTCAACTAGCGGAAAGTCTAGCAGTGCTTCAACAAAGAAGCCGGAATTCATGTGGTTTTCCTTGTGCACACTTGGATCAGCTGCCGGCATGTCGTGAATTGCTGGAGCGTCTTGCAGTCAATTCACTGCCTCTTTCAATTGGTTTTCGTAGTTGGTGAGAAAAACAAAGCAGTGGCGAGGACTTGCAATCCCCCAAGCACCCCATCCCCAAGCACTCTCAAGTTCTTTTTTTCCGGATGGGCAGTCACAAGTTCCAGTGGCACACACGAGTGGCACCACCCCCCCCGGTTGGGACGGGCGCCGGCACGTTCGAGGCGTGGAGCTTGGTGAAGCGATGGCATTTGGCCTTTTTGGCCACCACCGATGCAGCTGGGGCCCAAGGAGACCAGGAAAAGAGACATACAAATTAAGGGTGCTGTACTACTGATGTCTACTGTATCATTTTTTTTTGACCAGAGTTCAGATGTCTTTGAACGCCAAAACGTGTCAAAAAATAGCACCAAACATGATCACCATTGGGGGATGGACGGATCGACGACTCGCTCGAAGCCCAAAGAGGCGGCGCTTGGTGGCCTTCGGAACGGATTTCGCTCTCGCTCCGCTCCGAAGGCCTTCATCCGCTCCGAGATCAACGGCCGCCGGAGCCGGCGGATCGTGCGGAGCGCGGATCGTGCGGGGCGGCACCGTGTTTTGAGTCCTTGGGAGTCGTGTCCAAGGTCCTCTTCGCCTTCTTCTGCGCTGATGCCGTAGGAGCTCGGCGAAAATGGTGTTGAAAGACTCGACGTTTCTTTCGTGTCTTTCTTTTTCCAGGCCTTTTGCTTCCAGATTGGTCCAATCTGCGAGGACCATGTTTTGCACATCGTTCGACCCGCATTCGCAGGAGGCGGCTTGTGGGCCTTCTGGTGCGAGGATGGTGCGAAGCGCAGCGCCGCTCCCGAGGAGGGCTCCGGCATCGGAAGCCATCGGGTGAAGAGCATGAAGGGCTCGTCTTGCAGATGAGATCATAGAGATTTGATGCTTTTCATGATTCTAAGTACTAATAAGTATGTAAGCCTTTTCAAGTTATTTTCATGGATGAACATCACAAATTTTGTTGATGAGAGGGTTTTTTTGACAGTTGAGTCGGAGTTGAACAGTTCATGTGAGGCTACGAGAGGGTAGATGAGTGCAGAGATCCTTCCAGCGAAGACACCGTGCAATTGGCCAGAAGACTTCCATCCACCCACTCATCTCATCCATGCATCCCATCCATGCCTTTCTGTAAAGGACATGGAGCACTACAAGGATGCTTGCCACTCCTTCGGGGTGAATCACTACCTCCTCTGGGGCGCGGGCATTCCGCTGGAAGGCTTAGTTTTGGGCTCAGCGTCAGGTGAGGCTCAGGCTGATGCAGGTTCATGATGCTTCGATTCATCCAGGACACTCTTTTATTCTATTTTTCGCAAGTTCACCTATTTGAAAGAAGTTCGTGAAGTTCATCCATCCTTTCCGTCAAAGCCAAGAAACTCCCAAAAGTGCCAAGTTCCACCCTTTCCGGTTTTCCGTTGTCCGGTCTGAACGAACCGCGACATCATCGGTGTCTTCGGATCGGAACGAGGTGCTGTGGTTGGCCGGGCGCGATCCCTGGTCCTTCTGGTCCGACGCCTGGCTCCTCCCCGTGTGGATGGTGAGGCCGAACGGGACAGCTGGGTGGTTGCGTGGCTGAAGATGCCAAGAAAGGAACTAATTGTTTTATTCCCCAAACAGTTTACTGTTAGGGGTTCTCAATGCTTTAAAGAATGTTCGCCTTGGTGCTGGATGGTCTGGTCGGGTTCTCGGCCGGCTTGTCTCCCACTTCCTTTCATTTGTCTCCCAGTTCTTTTCATTTGTCTCCCAGGCTGGGTGCTTGTGGTCGGGTTCCCGGCTGGCTTGTCTCCCACTTCCTTTCATTTGTCTCCCACTTCTTTTCATTTGTCCGGGCTGGGTGGCTTGTCTCCCACGTCCTTTTTTTATTTGTCTCCCACTTCTTTCTATTTGTCATTTGTCTCCCAGTTCTTTTCATTTGTCTCCCAGGCTGGGTGCTTGTGGTCGGGTTCCCGGCTGGCTTGTCTCCCACTTCCTTCATTTGTCTCCCAGGCTGGGTGCTTGTGGTCGGGTTCGCGGCTGGCTTGTCTCCCACTTCCTTTCTGGCTTGTCTCCCACTTCTTTTCATTTGTCCGGGCTGGGTGGCTTGTCTCCCACGTCCTTTTTTTATTTGTCTCCCACTTCTTTCTATTTGTCATTTGTCTCCCAGTTCTTTTCATTTGTCTCCCAGGCTGGGTGCTTGTGGTCGGGTTCCCGGCTGGCTTGTCTCCCACTTCCTTCATTTGTCTCCCAAGCTGGGTGCTTGTGGTCGGGTTCCCGGCTGGCTTGTCTCCCACTTGCTTTCATTTGTCTCCCACTTCTTTTCACTTGTCTCCCAGTTCTTTTCATTTGTCTCCCACGCTTGTGGTCGGGTTCCCGGCTGGCTTGTCTCCCACTTCCTTTCATTTGTCTCCCACTTCTTTTCAACTGTCTCCCACTTCTTTTCATTGTCTCCCAGGCTGAGTGCTTCTGGTCGGGTTCGCGCCCTTTTCCGCTGGCCATCTGGTGTCCGCCCTTTTCCGCTGATGTCCGCCCTTTTCCGCTGGCCATGTAGCATTTCTATTCGTTTGTCTCCCAGGTCTCTCACTGCTGGTGTTCGCCCTTTTCCGCTGGCCATGTAGCATTTCTATTCATTTGTCTGGTGGTGTCCGCCCTTTTCCGTCGGCCATGCAGCATTTCTATTCATTAGTCTCCCAGGTCTGTCACTGTTGGTGTCCGCCGTTTTCCGCTGGCGATGCAGCATTTCTATTCATTTGTTTTTCAGGTTTGTCACTGCTGGTGTCCGCCCTTTTCCGCTGGCCATGCAGCATTTCTATTCATGTGTTTCGCGGATCTGTCACTGCTGGTGTCCGCCCTTTTCTGCTGGCCATGTAGTTTTATTCATTTGTCTACCACATCTCTTTTGGCCATGTAGCATTTCTATTCATTTGTCTCCCATGTGATTTCTTTCTTTTTGTCTTTCAGGTTTGGTGCCTGCACTGGTGTTTTCTGCCCTGTCCGCTGGCACAGGTTCACCTGTGAAAGGTTCTTGCTCCTTTGAAATGGGTGCGTGACTGTCTCCGGGGTTGCATTCCTGCCGCAGTGTGTAACTCTCTCAGCTTTGTTTTCCTTTTCGGGCAAGCGTTGGATGAATGACCGGATTGGATTTCGGCGGCATGGCAGCGATCTCTCTGTTCAGTTGGGACGGAGGGCATACGTCAGGCACCAAAAATCAATTTCATGTCACATCCTTCGCTCCTCATGCTTTTGTTTCTTGTCCTCACGTGGTCAGCTCCCCGCTGATTGAGCAGCATGACCAGCATCATGTTCGCACTTGAAGAATAATTCCCCAAAAGGTTTAGGGCTTCTCAATTCTTTTCTTAAGATATGTCCGCCTGCTCTGTACGGCTGTGTCCGTCTCTGCCTTGCAACCCTTTACATTTGTCTCCCAGCTCTGGGCTGCTGTGGCCGCCTCTGCCTTGCGCAATCCTTTGTCCAAGCTCTAGTTTCGATGTTGAAAAACACAAACTGTTTGGGGTCTACGGTGGTGTAATAAATCTGTAGGCATCACTGGCATCACATTGATGCATTTTCTGTGCCCAAGTCAGGCGCCTCATCCCTGCCCCAGCCTGAGAGAACACGTGCGAGGCTGGGCTTGTTGGATGTGTTGCTCTGGAACGTTCCTCCGCAGATCCTGGTGGGGGACGCCCTTTGGCCGCTCGGCGCGGATGAAGACGACACGGTGAGGTGAAGGAGGAGCAAGCTGTGTGTGGGAGAGTGCAAACCAGGATATGGGTCTTCCAGGTTCAAGGGGGTACTTACCTGCCTCGGCTGCCTGCGTCTCAGCTGAGGTTTTCGGTGATTGCAGCACCTTGCCAGCAAGAAGCTATATTTATCAAGGGTCAAAGCAGCCAACATGGACCTAGTCTGAAATTGCTTGAGTTTCTTTTGGACTTTACGAACTGTCAAGATCGTCAAGTTTGGTGACTTCAGAGTGTCCACTCCTTCCGGAGTGTTCTTCCAACTTTTCAGAGCAGATGTGCCACAAGTGAGCCTTCCAACAGCTATAGTTGCACAGAAAGACACGACCCACTGCTACCCCAGTAACCAGCAGATCCCTCACTGCACCAATAACCACCAACAGAGATCCGGCCCAGGTCATGTGCCGTGTGCACTCATTGGTTTTATGGATCTTAGTGGCTTTCGAAGTGGCCTCTCTCATTTTAGCACTCGGCGAAGGCAAGCCCGTTGGAGCTTCACCCTTGGGAGCTTTAGAAAACCTAGTGATGTTTTGACAAGAAAGATCGGAGGTTCACAAGAGGTCTCACAGTTACAGTGTAGTAAGTAGGAAACCAAGAAAGTGCCAACACAAGCCCAGGCTAAGTACTTACCCAGACTGAGAAAGATAGAAGTCTTCTCCACTGGACGAACCGTTTGGTCAAATCCGTCAAAAACCTGTTGATGGACCGATCTCCATCCCCGTTCAATTGCGGAAGATCCGGATCACGACAGGTGGATTTGTGGACATCTTCGCCTTTGATCACGATGCTCGGCCGCAGAAAGGTTCCGGAAGCGTTGCGCGTTCAGCGCGGGTAGAAGCGGGCGACACCGGCCAAAAGCCGCTCTCAGGTGACTGTGCCTTGCGATGCTGATAAATCTAAGGCAGTCTTTGTTATCACTGGCATCAGCAGATTCCTTGTGACAAACCCGGCCATGAAAGACAATGAAAAGGTGTCAGATTCAGCAATTGCTGGTGCATTTTTGGGTTTTGCGCCAGACAACTGATGCTTTTTCATTTAAGGAGCAAGATCTTTTGGCCGACATTTCTTTCTCTTGGTGTGTATATCTGTTCGTGGCTAGCCACCCAGGTGCGATATGGCATGTATAGTGTCGGAGGCTGAGGGTGCTGAGGGTGCAGCGCTATTCCGCCATCGCGTCCCCGCAAGCTTGAGACAGGATCAACCAGACAGATGTGTATTTGTTGCATGCAAAGATCCACCAGTCTCTTGGATCAACTCTGTGCCTTGCAATGCTTTTTGCAGTCCTTTCACCTCATTTTTGTCCAGTTTGGAGCACTCTTCCCCACTCAGTTCCCCAGACCTCTCAAGGACTTCCCCACCTATGACTGAGGTGGCCATGCTCATCATCATGGCCGGGGCCTACTTTTTGGACGAGCAAACGCGGCTTCAGTCCTTTGGCCAGGCGAGTTTTCGGGCGCTGCGAGCGAGACGGGCTGGTAGCACCTTTGGGGCGAAGCACTTGACTTTTCGTGACCGGTGACCTTCATATCTCACGACCGAGCTGGTCGGTTGCACCGCACCTGCACCGAGCTGCAGGTCATGTCCTTGCAGGATCAAAACGCCGCCTTGGCGGAGATGATGCTGCGATGGAAGGTAAGAGGAGGGAGTTTTTCTGTTCAATTTTGGGCGGAAACAAAGAGCAGCTCTTGAATTCGGCTGGGAGACGGGGGGGGTTCGAGAACTTTTTCCCAATTTCGTTGTTCCAGAAATCGGCACCAAGCATCAGTGACTGCAAGTCTACAACCACAACCAACCACAACCCACTCTTTGCCCATAATTGGGCGTCCTTTTCTTGTTTTTTTTTCTGTGAGAAAAGGCGCCTACTTTTGGACCGTTTTCTCTTTCACCAGAAAGTCCGCCGTGCTCCGAGACGCGCTCCGACGCGCGCGGAGCCGCTGGCGAGGTGCTTCCCGACTTGGAGCAGAGCTCCTCGGTGGGCGGCTCCGAGCAGCAGGACGACGCGGAGAGATATCCGGGAGGGGGAATCCTTAAAGGACAAACAGCAGGTGCCTCAGTGCCTTGCTGAACAAACATAACACCCACCGCAACAGCATCACAAGCAAGAAATCCGGAAGACTCATGGTCACGAGTACTCGATGGTAGTTTTTTTGGGGGGTCCTTGCTCTGTTTTTCAATCCTGGAAGAGATGACTCAGGAGGCCTCTGTGGGATCGATCGGCAGCTCAAGTGTCTTGGCGAAGGAACAGCTTTGGGAGGATGTGCTGAGTTGCAACAAGGTCACCATCCTGTTTTGCTTTGCAACTCCGTTTTGCTGAGAGGTCGGCCAGCGCTGGTCATCCGACCCCATGATCCTAAATGATCCTTAAATGGAAATAAATGGAATCAACACCTGAGAGGTCCCAGAATATGTTGTATCATTTTTTGAGAGGAATTGCTTTCACCTGCTGGGCTTGAAGACCTGTTCGATTCTGAACGTGTCCGAGGTAGCATCTTGCCACGCACGGGGCGCGGAGCTGCCCGAAGCTCAATTACGGGGTCTATCAGCTGGAGGAGGGTCCCCAACACACTGTCGCACTTGATGCTGTAGGTCATGCGAGAGGTTGTTTGGTAGATTAGCCCAGTGGTAGTTTGCACCAGATGGACCTTCTCAAAATGAATAAATACGACTCAGCTTCAAAATCGAAGTCTGAAGTGACTTCCGAGGCATGGCATCCGAGACCAGGTGCACCCAACGCGAACCCCCCAAAGCGCGCCAAACGCGTCGCAGGCCACTCGGGCCACCGACGGCCGCCGCTCGCCGCTCGGCCAGGCCGCACCGCGCGGGTGCGCTTCAACCTGCCGGACCTGCCGACGGCGCGCCACGCGCTGCCCACGCGGCAGCCGCGGGAGCTGGGAGGCGCCGCGGCGTTTTTTTCCGCCGTGGACGGCGAGGAGGGGTGCATGTAGAAGCAGCGGATTTGAACATGGCACTTTGGAGGTCAAGAACACTTTTGTTTGTGGAACCCCTCGAGCATCTTGAGCGCAAGATGCTGTTTGGTATCCTTTTCTTTTGATTGCTTTTGAGACCTGCACCAGTGTTCAGCAAAGTTTCTTTGAAATGGCGCTCCGGGTCATGGAGGAAACCACGGGCGTCCTTGCCGCGCTCCGAACCGGGCGAGGTCATCAGACCGCGAAGAACCTCATGGACGTCATGGAGTGAGCGAAAATGTCTACCGAGTCCAGACAGGCGAAAAGGAAAAAAGCGACCACTTCTGGGTATTAGAAACAATAGGCTACTAGGAACAAGTGCGTCGCTACTAGTAACAAGTGCCTTCCTAGTAGTAACAAAAAGCTAGTAGAAACAACCGGGCGAACGGGTCTGATGTCGACTGGAGACGCGACGAAGGGTGCACGAACTGCATGTGGAAGGTAGGATTCGTGAGTTTTGGCATGGCCAACTCCGAGTGTTTCAGCTGCCAGTGTCTTGTAATGTTAAGAGCTGTTTTTAGACCCTTCTGGTTCCAACAGACTGGAAACCATAATCTTCCACAGATGTGTTGAAGGCAATCTGATGAAAGGCTTGCTGGCTGTCCGGAAGCATCGTTTCGGCAAAGAGACTTTTGCAGACACGTGCCTCGTGCACCCTGCTGTTTTACGTTTTGTGGGATGAAGACCAGGAAGGAAGAGCTGGAATGAGATGTTCTGGGAACGCAACCTGATTTGATCTTCTTGTCTCCGGAGTTGCAACACTGCTTGACGGACATCGAGATCCACCAAGACCTGTTTGCTGATCATGCAGTACTGATAGGTCATTTTACTGGGTTGCGGAGTCAGATTCCGAGGTCCTTCTGGAGAATGCCACAGCGCCCATATTGGCAACATGAGCTGGGGAGTACACCTTTTCGGGGTGAGGTTCCAGCGGAGGTCGATAAGACTTGTCCTACCAATTGGTATGCAGGCATCTTTGCACATTTCGAAGCAGAGTTGGCCAACCAAACAGAAATGGCCCACCAGGGTCCTCTTCAGTCAGTTCACTGTGGGCGAGCTCATACTATGAACGTACAGACCCGCTCAGTGCAAATCCCTCCACTGCGGAAGAGCTGGAAGGGTGAGGAATCACCTGACTACTTTGGCCCCTCCAAGTTGCATGCTCAGTGGTTTCGACAGCTCCGAAGATTGCAAACCTACTACCGTCTCATTGACAGAGATGCGATGACTTCTGCACAATATCACCAACAGCGGGATCTGTGGGGAGCCATTCGGAATGCAGCTAGATTTGGACATGGGTTTGCACACTGGTGGTCGTTACATGGCCAGAGTGAGGATGGGGTGATTTCCGCCCTCCCTTTGAGCCCTCCTTCGTATGAGCTTGCATACATGATGTTTGACCATTTCCGTGGAAAAGTTCGAGCCCTGGAGAATCAGTTGAAATGGTCTCGGATTCGACATGCGCAACACAGACGGGTGGAGGACCCGAGCATCATCTTTCGTGACCTGCGAGCCGAACATGCAAGTTCTGTGGAGGTTTTGATTGACTCAGTTCAAGGCGAAGTTGAAGAGGTTGACCCCACTGACTCGGCGGTCACATTACGCCAGGATACACACTTTCGGTCAGAATCTCCGATTGTCCTGGCTGGGAGACCACGAAAAGTCATCCATGCGACTCCAGACAAACTTTGGCTTGAAGATGTTTCTGGTATCTCCCCAGGGAATGTTGCCCGACAAGAAAGTGCGACAGGAGACTTGCCTTCCCTCTTCAGAGCTTTTGGTTCGGAATGGGAGCGGTGGTGGCATCGACATGCTGATACCATTCCAGGCCGATGGCAACAAGTTCAAGACGAGCTGGTGCCTTTGCTGCCCTTCGCCGACATGACGCTGGATCCAATTACTCTGGCGCAATGGCGAAAAGCTGTCCAAATGAAGAAAAAACGGTCGGCTACTGGGCCAGATGGGATTAGCAGATTGGACTTATTGCAACTGCCTGATGGATTGACCCAGGAGCTGATTGATATTTGCCATTTTGCTGAACGGTGTGGCAGGTGGCCCACCCAGGCGTTGGTTGGAATCATCACAGCTTTGGCTAAAGTCCCGGGAGCTTCTCGGGTCCAGCAGTTTCGACCTATTACGGTCCTTTCGATGGTCTACAGAGTTTGGAGCACTATCCGGGCACGACAAGCTTTGAGTCACTTGGGACGTCTAGCAGGACCTCAGGTGGTGGGCAACTTGCCAGGGAAGACTGCGGGACAAGTCGGGTTTTCATTGCAACGTCGTTTGGAGCAGGCGCAGATCTATGATCGCCCGCTGGTCGGAATGGTGGCCGATTTGGTCAAAGCATTCAATGTCTTGCCTCGAATACCTACCTGGATGTTGTGCAATGCAATGGGTTTGGCTGTCGGCTTGATTCGTGCTTGGGCTGGTGCGGTGATTCCGTTGCGTCGTCATTTTCGAGTCCGAGGGTCGGTAGGTCCAGCAGTGATAGGCTGTAATGGGTTTCCAGAAGGTGATCCTTTGTCCTGTGTGGCCATGGCCGCCATTGCCATTGGATTTGATTGTTGGATGCAAGTGCACGTCCCAGAGTGTGTCCCAACTTCATATGTGGATAATTGGGAGTTGACTGCACCTTCGCCGGGGGTGTTGGGTCGTGCGCTCAATCAGTTTCGGGGCTTTGCCGACCTATTAGCGCTGGAAGTTGATTGGCAGAAAACGTACACTTGGGCAACCCATGGCCACCATCGTACTCAGTTGAAGCAATTTGATCTGCCTATCCAGTTATGGGCTAAAGACTTGGGTGGGTGTGTGTTCTACGGTCGAAGACATACCACAGGTCTACAGGCAGCTCGCTTCGAGAGCATGACACCATTGTGGGGCCGTTTGAGGATTTCCTGTGCACCTTTGACCCAGAAGTTGCGCGCCCTTCGATCACGCGTGTGCTTCGGTGAGGATTACAGAGCAACAATATGCCTCCTTACGCGCCGGGGCTGTCCGTGGTCTTCAGCTGGATAAACCGGGCACCAATGCTATGTTCCTCTTGGGGTTGCATTTACATCCTATTCATGACCCTGAATTCTTTGCATTTTGGCATACATTGCTGGATTTTCGGAGGCTTCAAAATGAACTTGAAGTACAGATTGATTTGCAATGGATTTGGGGTGAGCTTCAAGGGAAATTTCCACCGGGGCCCTTGTGGGTATTTTTCCATGGATGTTTGCGCATTCACTGGAGCTGGAATGGGGAATTGGGGCTGCTCGAGGACCGTATTGGTTTCTTCAGCATCTGGCGAATTTCGTTGAAAGAGCTAGAGTTCCGTGCGGTATATGCATGGCAACGAATGATCGGCACCATTGGCCAGCAACGACGTGGTTTTGCTGGGCTTGCCACCGCAGGCGCTCACCTGTCCCAAGGAACCCATTTACAGTTGACAGACCTTCAGCGTGGCCTCCTGCGTACTGCACATGTTGGTACGTTTTTTACCCAAGATGGCCTGAAGTACTCCACCCCGGATGGCAGTGAGGTGTGTGTCCATTGTGGTGCTCCTGATAGCATTGACCATCGTATTTGGCGGTGCCCCACATTCCAAAGTGTGCGAGAGAATCTCTCGGATTGTCGGCCACCAGCGTGTGATTCGTTGCCGGACTGTACTCGGCTACATGGGTGGATCCAAACTCCTGCGGAGTATCTTCCATTCCTGCAACGCCTTCACAACTTGCCGGACCTGTCCCACCAGCTGGATTCACCTGCACCTGGAGTGACACTGGATTTGTTTACAGATGGGAGTTGTATGTTCCCGCAAATCCCTAAGCTTCGTGTAGCGGCATGGGCTGTCGTTCAAGGACACAGTGGAGAGCGTGGCACACGAGTGGAATGTTTGGCCGGGGGACCGCTTCATGGACTTTGGCAAACCAGTGGCAGAGCTGAGATCGTCGCAGTGCTGGCGGCCGTGAGGCTTGGAGTCCGATCGGGGAGGCGGACAAGAATTTGGTCTGACTGTGCGAATGTAGTCAACAGACTTCGCCTCCTTCTTGATGATCCTCAAGGTGCCAGGCCCAATGCCCATGATGCAGATCTGTGGGATCTTTTGGCAATCGAGTTGAGACGGGAGCATCATATCACGGTCCACAAGGTTGCTGCCCACGTAGATGAACGAGTCTACGGCCCAGTTGAAGAGTGGGCGAGGCGGTTCAATGACATGGCGGACCAGTACGCCAAGAGCTTCAATCTGCAGCGAACAGACGAGTTTTGGCAGTCCTGGAACTTGTTGAGAGATCAGATGCAACAGGCAGAGGCCGTCGGCCAGTATGTCCTCCAACTTCATTGCCTTATCGGTGAAGAGGCGATTCGTTTACACAAGGGCTCCCCTACCCAGCAGGTCGGTACCTCCTCGGAGGCTAGAATCTCTTTGGAGCAATGTGTGCGGGTCCCCAGTGGACCACTCCTTTCTGACGATTTGAAAGGCTTGTTGGGCAGGGAGCAAGTGCGCCGTCTTTGGGCCTGGCTTCAAGAAGTGAGAAATGGGCATGTTTGGGGAAGTTGGGTCTCGATGGCTCAGCTCTACGTGGATTATCAGCTGACTTTCGGCAAGGTGGGACCTCATTTCCATTCTGACCGTCGGCAGTGGAGTGACCCCAACGAGCCCGGGTTGGCAAGGTTGAAGGGATATGAATTTCCCCAACAGTTGAAGTGGTTTGGGAGGGCTTTGAGGCTGTTGTTGCAGAGCCACGCTGCTCAGCAAAATGGACATCAGATTTTCAGATTGCAGCGCCCTAGTTCAGCAGTGTTGTCGCATTGGAGCCAATGTATTCACATTGCTTGGTCCCCTGCTCGACGAGACGCTGTTGATATGTGGTTCCAACAACATTTGCCCGGCGGCTCCACACGCCGCCGGGCGCATGGGCTGGCATGCTTACCTGCAGCAGGGAGCGACCCTGCATTTGCGGTGCGGCTGGTGGAAGACCCTCAGAGGTCTTTGTCTCAATGGTGGCGGTCACCCTGACCGAACTAGGATTTGACTGTTCGGGCCGCAAAACGCCGCCCGTCCAGACCGCAGTGAAAGAGTGAAAGAGTGAAAGATGTTCTGGGGACACCCGCGATGCAGTTCTGGGTGAAATGGCTCCGGCCAAGTCGGTGGGACTTCATTTGCCACTTGCTGCAACCATTGCTGTTGATCGTGTGACAGCTCAAGGTGTGTTTCTTCAAGACAACGCAGCAGGAAAGCAGCGCAAAAGCGAGCTAACAGAAAGCGTAGAAGTAGAGTCTTTACTTTCACACCATGTTCGTTGGCTGGGGCTTAGAATCCCGAAAACACTCAAACTCCACTATCCTCCCAGCTAGAAGCACTGCTTCCAATTCGCGCATCCTCCGAAAAATCGCTCCACCAGCAGCATCAGCCAAAACCTGCCTCAACTCCCCGCAGATCCTCCACCTTCACTGCATCCCCACCACCCCGGCCATCCTAAGAGAAACACCGATCGCACCTCCTCCGCCGCGGTAGCTTCCGCGATGCGGGCGATCCAGGAATCCGTGGCGCGGAGCCGCCAGGCGGCGCTGGAGCGGACCCTGCGGCGCAATGCCGAGGAGCAGGCGGCGCAGGAGGCGCCACCGGAAGGGCGCGGGGGGTGGAGGGTTTTTGGGCGACGGTGATGGGCAGAAAAGAGGAGGAAGTTTCGGTAGGCGGCCAGACATTTCGCACTTACTCTTGATTTCTGGCAGAAAGGCGCCTTTCCTTTGTTGTGTGAATCGATCTGCCCTGCCCTCTGCTGTCCGGATAGCTTGCCTCGGATGTTGGGAGGCTCTGCAGCAACAAGAAGAGTTGAGGCTCGAGAAGGAGTCGCGAGTCACCTGCATCATGGGGTGTTTTGACCATGGCCGACTCATGGTGTTTGCGCAGAAGTCTGCACTGAAACCTGAAAACTTGTAACGTGTACTAACGTGTACTGTAACACTTGTGTCAGCCAGCGAGTCTTGTGAATGTCAAAAAACAACTCCGGTGAAAGGAGAGACTGCACGTGGTTTCACCGCCACGAGCTGTTGTCAGATTTCTGGTTTAACCATTTCAACAAGCATCGCATGACATTCGCCCTCCCCAAAAAGAAGGAACTCGACAAGCAGCGCAGCGACGTGCGTGGTGTGCGGATGGTTTCCGTCGTTCCGCGCCGCAAGGAGCGCTGCCTGCAAGCTCGTTGGGACCTGATCCAGGCGGCGGCGGCGTTTCGGTGAAGTGCAGAAGAAACCGTGCTTCTTTTTCGGCCGTGGTGAAAGTGAAGAAAAAGGGGATATATTAGTAACAAGTGCATCGCTTCTAGTAACAAGTGCCTTACTAGTAGTAACAAGAAGCTAGTAGAAACAATGAGATTGCGGACAGATCTCGGAGCAGTTGTAACCACCAATTGATACCATTCGTAGGGAGATCTGACGACGTGCCCGCAAGCCGGAACCGTCTTCGAAGAACGTAGGCGGTGAATGTGGCCCACGAAGCGGATGCGTTGGCTTACTTGGAGGAGGCGTTGGCCGTTCGATTTGGGATTTTTGAACTTTAGAATATATTTGGGATTGGTGAATCTGAATCGATTTGGGATATATCACTTTAGATATAAACTTTAGATTTGGTGAATCTGAATCTGAATCCTCCATTTTTCAAGCGTTACCAGATCCCCAAGCCGCTATCTTTTGACACGGGGTGTACCAAACTCCAATTTGAGGCCCTAATGGACCAATGGACCCAGGGACCCCACGCGAACGTGTGAGGACTTCCAACGCGACGTCCGCCCACGACTCTCCGCCAGATGCGTGGCCATGTGGACATGCTCGTGGTCTCGGACGAGTATGGTTCCACACTCCTGCATGAGGTGTACGGTGCGCGTGTTGCTTCCGTTGAGACGACAGACACTGGGTGGATCAGGGGGGCAACCCATGGCTGCAACTCGTGTCGGACAGCTCAGCAAACAGACCAAGACTGGACTCACATCTCCCTCAGATGGCCAAAGAGAGATTTCGCACCCTCACTGACTTGGAAGAGACAGATGGGATCAGATGGGTCCCTTTCTTCCGTTCTTTGGACGTCGCTGAGAGTCTGAGACTGGTCCAGGCATGTGCCCGCGGGATGAAACGCTTGGCCACGGCCGTGTTGCAAGCCACTGCCGAGGCTGGTCCCGCGGTTCGTTTTTTTTTTGTTTGCTTTCGAAGACAGAGACAGATAAGGAAGGTGACATGAAGAAACATGCCACCCCAGTTGGACAAGAGCCGGTTCATTTTGCAAACACCTCTGCAGTTTGGGGTAGTTGATGGAGGAAGTGGCTGCTGTAGGTCTGGGCTCTTCTGAAACTCCAAATATTCCGTCATTGCGCGAGGACTTGTTCCGTCAGCCATGTGACACATGGCTGCTTGGATAGAGTGGCTTGCATGATACCCTTGGTTTATACATATTGTAGATGTTTTCCTGCCCAGCCACCATGTTTTTTTTCAATCCAGATTTACCATCACGAGAAGAAAACTAAAGCCTTGAACTCCCACACCAATGGATGTGCATTTTTTGGGGTTTCTGCAGGTTCCCTCAGTGGCTCCCTCAGAGTTCCCGCGCGGCGAGGCGGAGGAACAGAAGATCCTCTTCCAACGCGACTACCGGGGCCAAACGTCCGGGCCGCCGGGTGAAGGACGTGAAGGACGTGAAGGGTGAAGGTGGATGTGGGGTATGCCAAAGTCACCAAAGGTTGGTATGATAGTCTTCATTCCATTTCTGATTCTTTCTTTATTCAGGAACCGCTTCCAAGGGTCGTAAGAGATCAGATACCTCAGGCAATCAACGGTTCTTTCATGACATCTCTCCACATTCTCCCCGCTAACACAGAAACCACACACCACCTCGGCCTCTTCCGACCTCTTCCACCTCGGCCTTGGCTCTTCCCCGACCGCCTCGGCTCGCTTCGGCTCACAGCGACCATCGCTGCGACACGGCGCGCGGCCGGCAGTCCCGAGCACCCATGGCGCCGCTGGGCCTGCGATGGGAACGGGAGAGGAGGGAAAAGGAGGGAAAAGGAGGGAAGGAGGGAGAGGAGTTATTTTTTTGACCTTTACTTACAGTCTCCTGTACTACCTGAGATGGGCTAAGGTCTAAGAAGGTTTTTCCTTTGGTGGGTATGACGTATTAGACAGGGTTTTCGTGCTACGACTGTTGGGCTGACGTCTTCCAAACTAAACCAAAAGGACTTGGAGGCCGAGGTTCTTCCACTTCGCCTCGTTTGACCTGAGGTGCCGAGACTCCGATTCGGATGAATGGGACGAAGGCCAGGTGCTGTTTGTCAGACCCTTCTTCGGTGGTGAGGAAGTGAGGTGTTGGATCGTTCGATGCGTTTGATCGACTTGACGGGTGACTTGGTGGATGTATACTGGGCCCAGCAAATATGACTCAAGGTGGTGATGTGATGTTGGTTCTCAAAACATCGGCGAATGGCCCAAGCATGAAAGCGTGGGGCGCTGGCGCAGTGGGGCTGGGCGTGTGAGAGGACACATTCAACGCGAGGAGGTCATCCCCAAGCTTTCATCGGTAGCGGAGCAAAAGTCTACGCGTCGTTTGCTCATCGTTGGGGACCCAACCGTTTTGGTCGCTGTTGAATCCCAACTTCCTGCAGCAGCAGGGCTTCCTCCGCCATTTTACCGGGGGATCCCTTTCAAACGCGACCGACGGACTGCTTCCACACGGCCGTCCGCGTGCAAGACTCCACGGACCTCGAAGGGGCGGATGAGGAGCTGAAGCTCGGGACGAAAGCGGGAGCTCGGGGGGGTTTGGCATTGGGCATGAGTTCGGGTTCGTGGGGGCTGTGGAGTGTCCCAGTGCCAAGTCAGTGTGAGGAACTTGGCCGCGCTCAAGGTGCATAAAGGTGCTGAGCTTCAAGAAGAGCAGTTGCTGTACTGTCACCCAGGAAGGGTCACAGTATGTCACAGTTACGGTGCAGTCTTGCCTGGAGATCCGCATAAATAAAGAACATGGATGGGATTTAGGATGTGGAGAAACCGCTTCTTGAACAAACATTGGTGAATTCTTCAATAGGATTCCGTTGCAAAAGCATGGTCCTTTGCAACTAGGAGGGAGCCGAAAGCGGAATGAAGGACATCATCTAGAGATTTTCCATATAGATAGGAGTTAGGGAGTTAGGGTGGGACGGTGGCAGCCTTGCGACGTGCGAAAACAGGACCAACCATAGCCAGGCAGCCACCTCACTGGTTTCGTTTAAACCCTTCCGACATGACATGGATCAGGACATCCCATCGAACCATTCGGCCATACCTTCACTTCTGGCCCCGGCCGGACCTATACGCCCACATGGACCTTGAGACAAAGACCAACTCAGTGGGTTTGGGGGGGTCCATGTGAACTTGGGGAGTCTACTTCCCGGCCCCAAAAAGTATGGCCTGGACCATCTGACCAATCTGGTCGGACCTACAAACACTTCCCATTGCTAAACGCCTTCGTTCGCTCCACGAGCGAGCGAAGCAACGCTCCGACGGCCTCCGGGTCTTCATCGGGACCGAGGATCGATGAACAGGATCCGCCGCCGGTGCGTCCCTTGAACCGAAACGCAGGGGTGGAGGGATCCGTGGAGCGCGTAAGGGGGAGGCAAACCAGGCACACGGTCTCTTTTTTTGGGCGTGTCCTTGAAACCAGGACCGTGGTGTTGGAGCCGAGAGTGAAGAAGGGAAGGTCTTTTTGTCCCGAAATGACTCGAGGTTGGTGAGAGGAAAAACCTGTCACCTTCTTATGTCATTAGCTCTAGCTCCACATGAAAGACTCCGCCGTACCCAGATTTCTGCACATGTTTCCCGTGCTGCCTGCCAAGGTATCCTCTTAATAGCTTTCATGTGTATGTTCCAGGCGCGCTCACACGCCAGGGAAAGAGAGAGGACATGTTTTTCACGCAAGTACGGACACTGATGAAACAGACAAAACACAGGGCTATTGAGCACCAATCAGACCTTCAGACCTTCGTGACGACAAATGTATCAAGGTCTGACCATCCTGCAACTGTGATTTGATTCTATGAAATTGGGGGAACCGCAACAGACCCAACAAGCAAGAACAAGACTCTTTTTCCGGTGGACACAAAGCCCCCATCGAGTCTCTGGCTCCTAAGTGCTTGCCTTGAGTCGAGCGTGGGCGTCCAGTGCATTTTCACACCGGCCCTACTCTAACGGCCAAGCGAGACCAAGAGAACGTCATGCGTGGTGCACTGGGTTCTATGGCCTGTCTCGGAGAGTGACCAGTAACCGGTATTGCAAACACATCTAAGGAAATCCGAGTTCATCTTTTTCGTAAGGGGGTCCGCGATCATGTTATCACCAGCAACCCAGCGTAAAGAACCCCCTGATCTATAGAGATCATCCTTTAGTATGGCTATGTCTATAGCCGTTCTCTTGTCCTCTACTTGAGAGTAGGTGCACACCAGCTTGTTGATGCAGTCGTATAGCGACCGAGAGTCAACTACTGAGACATAGGGGATGGCTGCCAGATGCCGCTCCCAATCCTCGGATTCCATGGTCGTGCCCATCAGTTCGAGCAGGAGGTAGCGGTGCCAGTGGATATGGCCAATGCCATGGACTAGCGATTGGCATTCTGCGCTCAGGGTGTTGACTGTCTTTCGTTTGAGTTTTGTTGACTTCCATGAAGTCACGGAAACCATGTGAGGTCGATCTTCGGTTTCCATTCTCTTGTCATAAAAGATCATCACATAGCCTCCTTGGCTGCTACAGTTGAGGAGCTTGAGGAAGGTGTCGTTGATCTTTCCATGTTCCAACTCATGTCCTGGAAGCTGTTTGGTGAAGATGGTTTTTCCAGTCCAAGGGGAGTCCGACCAAGTTCGGACACTATTTCCTTTTGTCCATTCATCTTCTAGAACTTCTTCATTCGCTGTCATCGTTCTGCGACCTGGTTGTAGGTCATGAAGATCTGGTCCTGGATCGGCTCCTGGGTGAAATAGGACCCTCCTGGGAGTGACATGATGTCGAATCCAGTGTGATGGTTTCTCTTCCCAGTAGTCCTGTGAACTAGCTTCCAGTTGGTCTTGGCTTCTAGCGTTGGACCATGAAGCGTCGGTCGCAACTCCGATTCGCAGGTTCTCTGGCTGAATCGGCATAATCTTGATGCCGCTCGAGGGATGTTTTCTAGCCTCCTGAGTGATGGAGTTGGCCTCGATGATGTCTTTGATACGAGGCTTTGGAAAGACCTGTTGGAGCAGAGCCACTCTTCCGGCCAGGTCTGGCCTGCTTTCTTTGGCGAGCCAGGCTAGGGCTCCAACACTGGCGCGGAGCTGCGTGATTTCCTTGTCGTCACAGAAGGTGTATCTCTTTTTCTTTCGTTGTTTTTCCAGGTTGATCTCGAAGAGCTTCTCCTGGATGTAGTTCTCCTGGTTCACGGTGATGCTCGAGTCCTCTTGTTGGACGAACATTTTTCCAGTAAATTTTCCAGATCCATATTGGAATTTTCCGAGCTTGTACTTTGCCTTGATCTGGTCCATAGCCTTTTGGTGTTCTTCGTCGCCTCCATGTAGAAGGTCATCCGTAGCGACCGCAATGATGCCGCTGAGGACCGGCTTACCAGTAAGGGGACTGGCCCGATGTTTGTAGTAGATGCATGGATCTGCCAGTGACTGCTGGTATTGTAGTTGGCTGGTCAGGAACTTCTTGAGGTGATTGTACCATGCCAATGGGCCATCAGTGAGGCCGTAGCAAACCTTTTCAAGTTTCAGTAGTTGGCACGGTGCAACTCCAGGGATGCCTTCGCGAGGTGGAGTTGCATAAAGTAGTCGTTCAATCGCATCTCCACTATGGAAAGCTTGGGTGAAGTCCAAGAAGCCGAGTTTCCAGCGATGACTGGCCACCAGTTGGGCGACCATGAGAGTTCCTTCTCTGGTAACCTGAGGTGTCGTTGCCTCGATGTCCTCGGAGCCTTCTTCGCTAAACCCTTTCATCACATGTCGGGCTTTGGCCTTGCAAGGTTCTTCGGAATCCCAGTCGAGGAGGATTCCTTCCTGTTTGGCTGGTTCTACTTCGTGAGGTTCCAATGGTTTTGGAGTCAGTACCAATCGACTTTCCATGATTCGGTGTGGCATGGTTTGTCGAACCTTTGCCGACTCTTCTGGGGAGACAATGGAGTAGGCGCCAATGTTGATGTTGTTGTTGAATTCTTTGCCGATTGCCGCCTTGAAACATTTTTGGTTCTTGAAGCTCAGTTCCTGAAAGCGAACTTCCTTTCTCTGTCTTGTTTTCATCAGGTTGTCAACCTTGTTCAGGTAGATCTCCAGGTATTCATGTCTCAATCTTTTTAATGGCGGTTGTTCTTGGGCTTCTCCTTCATCATATTCTCTTTTGTTGTTCTCGTCCACGTCGGGGTGTTCTTCTGGTCGTTCTTCTGGTACCTCTTCAGCAGGTCGTTCGTCATGATCTGGTTCTTGTAGATCTTCTGCTTCTGGTGGTTGATGAAGGTTCTCTTGTGGTGCCTTTGTTCGGTATCTTTTTGCTGGCGGAGGGTATCCCAGAGGTTCTTGAAGCCCGTCTAAGATTGGAGCTATCGGAGGTGCACTCGGTTCATCTTCAGGAGGTTCGGATGGCTCACCCCATCTGCTAGGTCAGGAGGTAGAGGCTGATCGGATAGATCTAGGAAGCCTCGAACTGGTTCAGTGTTGAGATCCTTCTTGACATTGACAATGTCGTCAAGCCATCCCGAGAGAGCCATGTTCTCTTCAGATGATGCTCTCCGAAGACGCTCCGGACTCGCCTTGACCAGGTTTGACTGGTACGCTAGCCAAATAGTGCTGGGCTGGTCGATCATGATGATGCGAGCTGGTCCCTGCCAGTAGCCTGGTTTGAACTTGAGCTTTTTATCCGCTCCCATTCGATAGAAGTAGACAATCTCACCGATGTCGTAGTCCAGGATCGGTCTTGGTCCTGATGAAATAGCTCTCCGCAAGGCGTTGTCTGCATCGGCTTCGATGAAAGCTTGAGCTGCAGCCTTCCGAAGCTTCATGGATCTTTCAATGCTGAGGTCGCCGATCTTCGGCACTGGAGCGTCTTCTCGATGTCGATGTCCGTCATCTCCATTTAAGAGTCCTCCTGGTAGGAAGGGGTTGAATCCCAAGACACGTTGACATGGGCTGTATCCTCCCACGTTCATCATTCGGTTTTTGGTCATGGTGGTGAGGTCTACCATTTCTTCCCATTCCTGCATGTTGCTGCAGCTGTAGGTGTCCATGGTCTTCTGGAGGATGTATTTGAAAGTCTTTCCATGCCTTTCGGTGATGCCTCTTTGATGAGGTGCTTCCACAGCAGCTGGGTCGATGTAGGTCCCATCCTGCTCAACCTGTTCCGCGAAGGTACCGCGAAACTCACGTCCCAAGTCTAATGCCATTCTTTTTGGAGGCCCAAATAGTCTCAACCAGTGCCTATAGGCTTCTCGAACTTGTCCTGGTTTCTTGTTAGGCAAGGGGATCATGAGTTGGAATTTGCTTGACCAGTCTATCACGTTAAGTGCTGGTCTGGAGCGATTGCCCAAGGTCGGCAAGAAGACCACATCCACTCCGACACATTCGTTGAAGCTGAGCTCCTTGGGTGGAGCACTTCGTCGTGCGGGTCGAACTTGGGCATGTCGTTGACAGACACTGCATTTCAGCCGTTTTGCTGCTTCAATGACTTCCGGTTTTGCCTTGGCATATCTAAGTATGCGTACAAACCGATCTGGACTTGGATGTCCCATTCCAACATGTGCTCGATGTAGAAGTCGGTCCATGGTGAAGCGACGTTCGAGAGGGAGTGGAGCATTTGTTCGTTCATCGCTTTCCGGTTCAAGTTCTCCTTGGTCACCGTCACCTTGAAGTTCTTCAGCATGTAGTTCCCAGGTTGGGCCAGGTAGAACACTTTCGACTTGGTCGGGTCGTTCCGGATCGACTTCGCTTAGATGAAGTTCATGTCCCGGGACTTGTTCAGCCTGTAGCGTAGTTTCCTGGTCTTTATCCGGTGAATGTCCTGGATGGAGTTCAGAATCGACCATCAGTTCTACTGCCAACAATGAGTTCAGGCGATCATTCTCCAGGAACATCTGTTCGGAGGTGATGGTATAAACCTCAGCTCCAATCGATCTTGCGTAGGCAGCCAAAATGGCTTCCCGAAGACCTTCCGGATAGATTTGTGCTTTCTTGGACTTGGTGCCACCAATGATGACTTCGTGTTGATGATCGCCAGGACATAGGGCGTCTAGAGCCTTGGCGATCTCCGGGCTGTTGGTGGCAAAGCCAGTCCGTTTTCTTTGGGGTTGGCCAGATTCTCCACGGAGTCCATATTGGCATTGGTCTGCCTTCGTGTACACTACGTTCGGTTTGGAAAGAAGCTGCTCCATGGCACGGTGTTTCCAGGAGGATGCAGCGTGGGGATGTTCCAAGAGGAACTTGATGCCCAAATTATCGCATAATTCGCACAACTGCAGTGCAAACAGCAAAAGTTGCTCCCCTTCCGACTTTCTCTTTAGATACTTTTGAAGAAGAGCAGGAATGCGTTCTCGTTTGTTTTTGGAGAGGTTTTGCAACTGTGAATACATTTCACATGGTGGTGCGATGCAAACGAGTCCAGGCCTAACATCTTTCACATACTGCAAGACTTCGTTTCGTTTGTTTGCCTTCAACAAATCACAATCCAACTTCAAATCAAAAACACGGCCAGGATTGAGATTGAAGCGATGGGCAATTTCACCAAAACAACCAGGATTATAGATTTCAGCAACCGTTCTGAGTTGTTTATGAGAGAGTCCCATGATTTCAGCAATCTGATGTGTTCTTTTCGATCCATTAGGGTGCAGGGTGAACTCCTTGCAAAGGTCATGATTAAAGCTCCGAATCCAGTCTCGCAGTGTCGCATCTCCATCATGCGTTTCTGCGAGAATGTACTGGATCTGTTTCCAAAAAGCCACAGCCTTCTTCAAGGCTGCCCTGAGCTTTCTTTCAAGCTTTGGGGTCACTGGCTTGAAGGGCCCTTCATTCGGCGCCAGCGCAGGAAGTCCATGAAGTCCTGGTAGTCCTCTGGTTCGGTCATCCCTTCCTGAGGTGATGTTGGCGTCGGAGTTGAAGGACGAGGAAGTGTCTCTGATGGGCTGCTGGGAGACACCGTCTCCGTGACAACCGCTTTCTTTTCCTGTCTGATCACCTTGTTGCAGTAGCGGCAGGTCACCTTGGTCAGGAAGGCATTGGATCCCTTTCGATGCGTGGCGGAGTGCGGGCAAATTTCCTGAACCATCCCCTCCAGCACCTCGGCATAGGACTTGGGCTTTTCGCCTGGCTGCTGGCGGTACTTCCAGCTGGTCACATCTTTCAATGGCTGGCAAGGGGTCCATTGTTTGAATTCGCACTGTTGTCCTGGGTACTTCGGGCATCGGAAGTAGATCTCCTCCTCGTGGTTGACCTCGGTGCTCAGATGAATCTTCACCTGTAGGCCGCATCGGCAACGAGGTCGGGGTCCAGTCAGCATCTCGATCCCCGGCAGGCTGTCGATCTGGTCGCAGCGCTGAGTTCTCACCAAAGTCTCCTTCTGAACCTTCCTCTGAGATCCGTCCGAGCGTTGTTCCGGGTCGCTGATCACGATGAATGTGTCCGATAGTTCGCCGCGACGATTCATCTCGTCCTTGGCCATCTTGGTCACGTGGTGGAGCTCCTCGTCGGACATGTTCTCGATCAGACGCGCCAGAACCCGGCGTTGGGATTGTGCTCCCATGATGGTCTCCAAGAGGCGTTCGAACAGGTACTGAAGGGGCATAAGCACGACCAGTAGCCGACGGGTCAATTGAGTCCAGGCTTTCACGGCCTTGTCCTCCGGGTTCGAAGTCTCCGGTGGAGCATGTCGGCTGCGCTTCTGGCCGGTGTTCTGCATGGCAGGCGGAGGAAACCGGTGAGGTCGATGCTGAAACGTCTTGAGTTCTGTCAGGCTCCGGCGGTTTCATGCACTGTTCGTTCAATTTCAGGACCTCGAATTCCGGAAGCGAAGTTCCTAAATCTTCTGACTGGGCTCTTTGGAGTGCGGTCAGTTGGAGTTCCGTGAACTGTTGAAGTGGAATTCGAAGTGCTCCGGTTGGTCCAAGATGTAAGGGGACTGGTTCGTGGTTTCCACGAAGTCGAAGTTGGAGGCCTTTCTCAAGACACAACCCTATGTCACCATGACAATGGAGGAGGAAGCTGAGGGACAAGAGGAACGGTGCGTGGGTGCTCTCGTCGCTGTCGAAGACCGCTGGTTTCAGGAGACTGCCTTTCGCTCCCAGTGAGCTGGGTACATTGGCTACCCGGGTGGTAATCGATGTTTTGTGAACGCTCCTGAACTTGTTGGTCTCGGGGTGAATGGTGATCTTCAGGCCCTGTGGTAGATGGTCACTGAACTTCCTCAGGGTCGTGGCTCCAATTGCCAGTCTCTGCAGGTAGCGTCATCTGGGGTTGACTGGGAGTACTGGGATACCAGATCGCAAAACATGTTTTCATAGAAAAACAAGCTATCCACATCAACATGACCAATCTCACCCATTCCCAAACCCAAAACCGTGTCACTCTCCGTATATGACCGAGCGGTCAGGCCGTGATTCGAGGCGGGGACTACATCTGTACAGTCCGGCTGGCCTTCGATTGAAGTCCTCAGGATGAGCGGCTCAGGTGTTCTTGTCCCTGTCATCTCAAAAGGCGAGGAGCTGGTTGGTCCATGGCTGGAGAGATTCTTGTCGATGAACTCTTCCTTCTCCAGACTGCCCACAAAATGCACCTCGGGTGTGCTTTCCAAAAGGTGTGTCTCGTTCGTTCGAGACGCGCTCATCGATGAGGAGCTGCCTGGTTTCATGGGAGGGTTCTTGCAATCCCGTTTCCAGTGGCCGATCTGACCACATTGTCGGCAGCGGGTCCTCTTCTGCAGCTCGGCAATCGTTACGGAGTAGGATCCAGGTCGTAGAGGTCGATCTCGATCTCCCCGATTCAAGCTGAAGTTTGGTCGTCGACCAGCTCCATAGCCTCGGGCGAGTTCCTTGGTTTTCTTGTCCTTGATCGACTGTGTATAGGTCTTCTTCTGCTGAAGGTAGGTGGAGAGGATCTCTGCCGCCTCGGATTCGCTCAGGGCGGTGTCTTCGGAAGGTCCTTCGTCCTGGAGCTCCATGATGTAGTGCTCGATGTTGTCGATCTCCTCCTGGTCGGTGCCATTACCTTCAATGACCTCCTCGGTGGCATAGACTCCGTCATACTCAGTATGGAATGCGCCGGCTGCCTTCTTCCGGTCGGCCCCAAGCTCTGAGGCAGACAACTTTGTTTCATTCTTTCTCAACCAGCTCTTGATGGAACTGGGCTTGATGCAGCCGTGGGTGTAATTCAACAAGGCCTTGGTATCGCTCTCGGTCAGCTGCAGCCCGTTGATCATCAAGAAGCCTTCATACTCGGGTGGAAGCACGATCTTGTGTTGTTGAACTTTCCGAATGGCGTTGTCCCACTTGGCGAAGTACTCCCTCCAGGACTCTGTCTTCTGCCTCCGGAGGTGGTAGGTGATGCGGGACATGGCCGTCAGCATGTGCTCCTGCTGGTCATCTCCGAAGCGTTCAGGCTTATCCATGTCTTCAAGAAGACGTTCAGCACCTCGTGGATCTCCGAGCCAAACAGGATCTTTTGCCCAGTGCTTGTAAAGCTCGAAGGGTGCTCCTGTCAACATCTTCAACAAGAGAGGCCCTCGCGACTTGGCCTTGTCCTTGGTCGTCGCGATCCATAGTTGGGCCTTAATGTGATAGTCCTCGAATGGGGTCTGTCCATCCCATGATGGTGGAGGTCCGGAAGCCCCTCTTCCTTCTCCACTATCATCACCTTCTTCTTCTTCTCGCTCACGACGGCGCCTATGACGTGTCGGACCGCGGCCTTCTTCTCTCTCCATCTGGAGAAAGCGTTGGAACCGAGCGAAGGCTTCCCGGTCACTCCCTAAAACGTCCTGCGCGCCCTGAGCCCCCGTGGAGCCAGCAGCTGGCGAGCCGCCGCCTGGCGGTTCATCCAAGTCGCCATCTGAAGGTGGAATGGCCTGTCTATCGGCCATTCAAAAACCTAGACGGGATGGGGGCTGGTGACCACCAAGAAAAAGAGTCGAACCCAAACCAGCCCGGTCGGAACCGGGCTCCGCTACCACTATGAAATTGAGGGAACCGCAACAGACCCAACAAGCAAGAACAAGACTCTTTTTCCGGTGGACACAAAGCCCCCATCGAGTCTCTGGCTCCTAAGTGCTTGCCTTGAGTCGAGCGTGGGCGTCCCGTGCATTTTCACAGATTCAGACCTTCGTGATGGCATATGTCTCAAAATGCATCCCTGCAACTGTGATTCGATTGTGACCATCCTTGATTCCTTGATGATTTCATGTCTTCTGCTTGGGTGGAGCATGTCTTTCTTAGCCCTTGAAACATGTCCGCCAACACCAGGGCTACGGCTGCATGGTCGGTGGTCCAGCGCATGCGCTGAAACATAAGCTGGGGATCAGCCACGAGCAAGCAGCGGAATTCCAGGCGTGCTCCCAGAGGGACGTGAGTTTCTGGCTGAATGGAATCAATCGAACAGATGACACGATGCATGGATAAATGGTTGAGTGATGAATGGATGGAAGATGCAATCTAATTTGGATTTCTAATTTTCCAATCCCTCCTTGCAAAGCCAATTCCTCGCTTTTTATTCGGTCATCATTTTTGCCGCGGCCGTTTTGGGCGGATTCAGTTCTTGGTTTGGCAAAGTCGATGGAGTGACATTTGGTTTTCAGTTACAGGATGATGATGAATAGCTCGCTGAAATGTCGGTTGACAGGTTGGAGTATACCGAACCCTCGAACGGATGATCGTTCAAGAGTCCAGTGTATTACCAGAGGAGACAAGTGGAGAGAGACACAGAGAGAGGAGCTTCCCTTCCATGTATAGAAGCCTCCTTGAGATTCGAAGAGTCGAAAAGAAAGAATTCATCACACTTCCCTTCAACTCGCAGTCATCCACTCCAGCTCATGGCCACTCGCCACAAGCGACCAGCGACGCGTCCTTCGCACCCCCCCAAAGCGCAACGCGTTCACATCGCACCGGTCGCACCTCCCGGCCGACCGAAACGGAGCGCTGCCCCGAAGATGCGAGGATGCCACGGCGAGTTTCCAGCTCGCGAAGATGTTGATGCGCGTGTGACGCTTCCCTCGGCAGATGCGCGATGGCGCGCGCGACGATGTTGACGCGTGGAACGGTCCAAGGGGTTAAGGCGTCTTCCTTTATGGGGCGACACGCACTGATCGGTCCAAGGGTAAGCTGGTTGGTTTGGAGAATGTCTGGGGCATGTGGTGGGCGCTGGTGGTTGGCTGTTTGGAAGAAGCTGGTGTGTGAAGAGCAGTGTGCATAGTGTGCTCAGACCGGATGCTCTTCAGCAACAGAAGATTCAAGAGCTCTTATTGACAGCAAATCAACCCTAGCACCTCACCAGCAAAAAGCCCATGAATGGCGCCGCTCGATCTTACTTTCATTGGCTTGGCGGTGCAGAGGCTTTGCAAAAACGCTTCCACTTTCATGGTCTGTGGGTCAGAAGCGGGCCAGAGGGGAGATGAAGGCATACCGGGGTTCTCAGATGGACACATCCAAACAGCTTGGGGTGGTGAGCACGAGGGTAGCTAGACCGCAGCTGGCTGTGACGGTGTGCTTCAACTGAAGATGCGTCGAGCTTCAGGAGCTCTCGGTGGAGGGATGTTTTGGTGCTTCAACACCAGCATCATTCACTGGAGGTCTCCAACACAAGGTCTCCAACCTCGAGAAACCACCACAAGGATGGTGCATGTGCCATACATGGAGTGCTTGGGCACACCTTGTGGGATTCCTCTGCTGTTTGCTTTTTTCGGCGAGGTCAGATTGCATTCCTGGCCTTCATGGAACCCACAGGCCGACGTCATGAGTCATGGGCATTAGTTGACTCATGTTGACTCTATTCTTATAGCAACTGGTTTCCTTGGACTCCTCGCCTTCTTGATAGCACGCTCCTTTTTCTTAGACGAGGTGTTGGTTGTCTACTGAAAATTGAAAGAGGGATTTGCACACTTTTTAAAGTACTTGGACTCATAGATGGACCTGAGTTGGGCCTGCCTTCATCTCACATGCTTGCACTTCCCCATGCTTTTCGACAGCTCCGGAAAAAACGCAACGGAGCTCTCTTCCCTGCCAGGCATCGTCTACATGGCCTATGCGACTCGTCGATCGGGATCAGCTCTGAGCCTTTACCACGGTGCCCCCAGCGGTCGGTCGCAAGGCTCAGCTCTTCAATCGCCGCTCTTCCATTGAGAGCTCGAGACCTTTCTTCCGAGATCAACCTATATAAGAGCAACACTTTGACGAAAAGCGTGTTCTTTCTTTACCCCATTCCCACCCCATAGAACACAAAAGAAACAGAAACACAGATAAAAACCCGTCTTTCTTCCTCTTTGCATTGAGTACCACCGAAAGCTGCTCCGGAGGAACCCTCCCCACTCCCGCGTCTCCTTCTCTCCTTCGGTTCCGGTCCGACGGTCCGTCCGACGGTGCAACGATAGCAAGTCTTGTTACTACTAGGAACAAGTGCCACGCTAGTAGTAACAAGTGCCTTACTAGTAGTAACAAAAAGCTATTAGAATTAATTGTTAAGCTTAAATTTAAATTAATAGCTTCTTGTTACTACTAGTAAGGCACTTGTTCCTACTAGCGATGCACTTGTTCCTAGTAGCGATGCACTTGTTCCTAGTAGCGATGCACTTGTTTCTAGTAGCGGAGTGCTGAGGTGGTGATGTTCCTGGCGCTGTGGGTGCCGGTGGTCTTCGTCTGGGGCGCCGGCGTCACCGAGCTCTGGGTGGTCTATCTCCAGTGAGCAGACTCGTTCGGGCGTGGGGACGACGTTGTGGGGTCAGAAGGGTCAAAAACAAGCCCAAGAACAGACTCATGTCACTACTTACTAGCTTATGTTGAACACACTGTTCCATGTCGGTGAAACATGATGAATCCAAGTATTCTTGGCTTTCCTGAAATCTTTTTGTTTCCTTCTTTGACCTTTGAAGCCTCAGCCACTTGGGTCTTCCATTTGTCACAGAGACGTTCCGGGTCAACGGCTTGTCTTTTTCTCCGGACGCCTAGCGGACGCCTGGCCGGCCGCCTACAGCCTCGGGGCCGCGCAGACTGTGAAGGTACATCTTGGGCGGCGTGGCGATTGGCCTCTTCGAGGGCACCTTCTTGAGCGTGATCAGTTCGTCCCGACGCCCGAGCGAGCTGAACGGAGGGAGCGTCGTTTTCATGAGCGTCCTGGAACGTCCGTTTTCGGTGTGAAGCGTGAACGGAGTGCAGCGAATAGTAGGGGCATGTTTTCGGTTGGTCAGGTGGGAAGCAGACCAAAAAGAAACAAGCAAAGAAGATCAAATAGTTATCCGAAGAATGACAACACACCAAAAAGACAAAGAAATCACACCAAAAGGATCCAAAAGATACGTTCTTTTCTTATCGGTCTTTGGGAACCAGGGGGCATCATTTCCAGATTTGAGCTCGCTGGACCCACTTTCGGCGCGCGGCCAGCCTCGGACCTACTCTCCTGAGGCTCGGGAGGAACACCAAGACCTTTGCGATCATGGGTATCTGGGTCTCGTGAGTTCGGGGAGCGGTCGTGGAGTCGAGGAGAGAAGCCCAAAGAAGGGTGAAGATGAGGGGCTCCACCTGAATGATCACAAGGTCTGTGGAGATTCTAACCTTCTATTGATGCCCCTCTACTCTAGCCCGAATTTGCCGTAGTTGTTTTTACTAAACTCGTTTGTACATATGAGGTTTGTTGCAGATTCTGCCCACCGTCAGACATGCTGACGCTTGCAATGCAGATTTGCCACGCATTCCATGAAGCATAACTTACATCGTGAATTGAGGAAGAGGATAAAGTTAATTCAACTGCCCAAAAAACATAGAGTCTAGAGTCTAGAGCAACCTCAAAGCAAGTCTTGGTTTGTCAATACATGACTTATGTTTGCCTCCCTCCTCAACAGACACCTGGATAACCTGGAAAATGTCGCGGGCAGATCGCGTTTGGGGGCTAAAGTTTCAAGACAAGGGATATAAAGCTGTTGACCATCCAAGCAGTTGATGTGATTTGACTCATAGATCTCCATGCCTTAGTTCAACGAATCGTTGGCTGTTCTATTGGACGCCTCAGCGGGTGCTTCCTGAGGAGCGCCCCTGGGCTTCTTCGTGAACAACACGATTCTGGCGCTGCTCACGCAGGTGGGCGTGCCGGCCGCCCGGCCACAGTGGGGTGCTGTTTGGAAGGGTCGGTTGCGCCTCTGAGTTGAGTGCGTTTTTGGGGTCAAGTCTTGGACGTTCTTTTCCAGCAACGTTCACTTTTGTGACGTCTCGGGGGTATGTCCATTCTCTTCGTTCTTATTTTAGAACCGTTTCGGGTCTTTTTCTTTTTTTCGCTTTCATGGCCTTCGCGGAAGATCCAACCGACGACCTCATTCCCGTCCTCTCTTTCGGCACCCCCGCCCACGGCGCAGAAACCTGGCACCACCTCTTCGGCACCGCGGAACGACCGCGGCGAGCGCAGCGGGGCGGCCAAGGACATCTTCTACTACTTCTACGATGCCATGTGCTTGTGCGGTGCCCAGCGACGGGACGTGACACCTCTCATAGCTGGCGCATGGCGCGCACACCTTCGCCTGACTTGTTGTTGGGAGATGGAGCCTGACATCGGCCCAAGAGGACTCTTCAGTAAAGGCATCCGCGTGTTACTAGTAGCTTCTTGCCCCTAGCGATGGCCTCCATCTAGTAGCTTCTTGCTACTATGAAGCACTTCTTCTTCTTCTTCTTATTCTTCTTCACAAGCTTCTTCTCACACAAGCACTTCTTCACCAAGAGGAAGTCAAGCACCGAAGCACTACATGCGTTTGTCAAGCGATGAGCCGCAGTTTGCATCACCTTGTAGGGTTCCCCCAGTACGTCTTTGAGTGCCTCAGTACTTGCAAGTGGGGTACCATTCATGTATACTCTATAAAGTGATATCAACAGCATGTGCCAATGTATTCCTTCAGTTCCTTACGTCACATCTGCCCAAAAGGCTTGTGCGGCCTAGAGGGAACAACACCCACCCTTCGACACGCCCGACCTTCGTGCTATGAGTGAGAACCAGGTACATCGCTTACCTGCACATGCAGCTCTTATCTGCTTAGTGCCCTCTCAGACGGGACCCCCGCCGCTTCTTTCTCGCCTTGGACCCCTTCCTGGTCGCCTTTCCCCAGGCCCTTCGCCATGTACATCTTCCACGTGTACAGGCCCAGGGAGGCGGACCTTCCGTGGGTCGGATCACCGGGGGCGGTGGCACGGACAGTAAGGAAGGAAGGAATCCAAGCAGACTTGACAGAGAGGTTAGGGGTTGGTCCTTCATCACTTCGCCAAACGACCAGTTTCGCTTTGGATCTGTGAATGGTGCATCCCTTTTTCCTTCCACCCAACCCCTCACGATGTCACACCCAAACCCGCACGAACCACCGGAACGCTGCGTGACCGTTGTCACCCCTGTCGTACGTCTCGTTGGGTCGAATCGTTGGCGCCATCCGCGTTCAGCTGGGAGGCGAAGGGCGCGGGCAAGGGCAAGGGCTGCTCGGTGTTCATGTCCTCCATCTCCCATGCCATGGCTGCGACCTGAGAGTCCTCACTCGACTCCTGCGAGTGTGATGAGAGCATGACTAGCTACGCAGCTACCCAGCTGGCAGTGAATGCAGATGGGACCCGCGAAGAAGGGACCCCTCCTGACTTCTGCATGTTGCACGAAGAACGGGAAATTGCATAAATGGAATTTGCTAGGATAGACTTGGATTTTGTTGCCTCATGACTCCACAAGCAGAATTCCAGGCAGGACTTCACGAAGTCTGGTGATTGTGTAAGGTGCCTTGACGATCATGCTTGCTTGGCGGCCAGTGTGGCCGAGCGAGCAAGGGGGTTTCTGATGACCTTGCGTGCTGAGGATTGGCTGCCACACATGATTTTGCGACTTGGCGGACGAGGTTCCAGCATTGCATGATGGACTCTTCATGGCTCACCTTGGACATTTAGGTTGACTTTATTATTTATCATCTAAGCTGTTGTCATCGAGTCATCTAGGCAGACCAAGCCCACTAAATCTTCAACAGCATCACTGGCATCAGCAGACTTGTTGACTTTGCTGCATGAGACCAATGCTTTTAGCACCGGATTCAGCGACTAACTCCCAACTCCCAACTCTCCTTTTCGCAAAAAGGGCGTTGTTCGTTCTCCCTTGGCTCACCTGTCGATCCGTGAGACGCCGCGGCCGCCGTGCGGCCCCCCGAGGTGGTTTGTGGCCAAGTTCATTGGCAACTTTGTCCTGGAGGACACGCCATTTTCGCTGTGAATGACCAAAGAACGACCAAGGCGCAAGGCATCTCCCACCCAAAAGACCAAGTCACTTGGACCCGTTGGAAGGCATCGTTACTAACTGACCAGCGGACCTCGAAGCAGCTTGTAACATCAATTGGTTCTTTCAGGATGGCTTTCCGCTGTTGTACAACACCTTCAACACGGAAAAGGCGACGTGTGACATGAGATGCCTTCGTGCTTATTGCTGTGGGGTCATCACCACCATTGAGAAAGCCAGCAAGGCATGTGGGTTGACCATTGCCCACAGGCTGAAAATTCTTGTTCAACGGAGTTTATTGGGTTTCATGCCGCACTTAGCAAAAGCCTGCATAAGTTCGCTTGTTGATGTTGTTTCATTGAGGCACACAAGACATCCTGTTGATTTGGGCACAAGAAGTTTGTGAAAACTGTTCGAGAATTCCAACATGCTCGCACCAAACCAACAGCTTTTGCATGACTTGCCTGTCATCTAGACCAAGGAGACCAACTCAGCGAAAGAAAGCTGCCTGCAGGGCTGATCATCCAGATTAAACGACAGATTCTCAATGATTCTCACCCTGCATGCCATCACCTCATATCCCCTGCCGCCGTAGCTTCCTCGGTCGCATGCGTTCAAAGACCGTGGTGGCGGGCGTGGCAGGTGCCCATCTTCGGTGGTCCGGAGAGCACCACTCATCTAGTTCCGCTCCTTGGGCACCAAGAGGGAGCGTTTCCCGGGGCGGGCCGGGGGCGAAGGGGCCAGGCGAAGGGGCTGGGGGGGCCATCCATTCAATACACGTGACCTGCCAAACATGGAACATGTCAACGAACTGGTGATCAGCATCCACCTTTGTGTGTGCTCCAAGGTTTACCTTGTACACCGCTCTGATGTGGTTTCCCGCCATGGCTGCTGGCGACACCGTGAGCCGACGAGTACCTCAATTCCTGGACATCACGTGGCTCGGCTGATGGGACGTCGGAAGCAATCAAATGCACTTCCAACCTGCCAGGACCTTCAAAGTGACCTCTTTGGAGTCTGTAAGTGACCTCTTCAGGGACTAAGTGACTTGCTTTGTTTGGTGTAGACCGCGCAGCCAGTCGGCGCAGCCAGTCGTTTTAGGGGGAGTGTAGCCCATGGCTGCCAGGTGGGGGCAACTCAAGATACCCAAGATGGACGCTACTTGCGGGCTTGACATGACCCGTTCGTGTGTCAACGATAGAAGATTCGGCAATACTTCGATCGCACATGAGCTCCGTCCAAGACGTGCTTCGCAACTGTCAGGGTCAATTGGAAGTGCTATGTGCCAGGGGCTCAGCGGAAGCAGAATCGACCTGCTGTTGTGCTGTTCTCGCTTGAGCCGGGCAAACAGCGGGTCTCTCGACAAACCTGAACGAGAAAGGGGGAGATTCACTCTGACAATGAGAATCGTCATTTTTAAAGCCTTTTCCATGCTCATAGCCAGAGTTTTTTAACTACAAATATACTGTATATATATATATACACTTATATATACATACAACCTGTTCAAAGAGGTT